TTCCTGCCCCCCCCCCCACCGACCCAAATAGCGCTGTCAAGCAGGAACATTTTCTCTAGCTAGCTCTGATTTATTTCTGTTGATTATTTTGCAACATGTAAGCCATAAAGCCTGACACCAGTGTGTGAAAAGTGATTTAAAGTCAGCAGTTGCAGTCAGCTGAAATTTTGGAACCAAATAACGCATTATATAAAGCTATTTATTGCAAATGATTGGTTTTATTATTTATACTTAAGTCAGGTTTATTGAGGTTTGATTTATGTACAGCAAAATTCACTTTTTAGATGTACAGTTTGATGAATTTTGACAAAACTCATATACTGTGATGTAACCATCACTATGGTCAAAGATGCAGAATATTGCTATCACTGTCATTTACATTTTAAATGGTTTATCATGGATCCTTAGAAGTAGCCTGGTTTGCAATATTATACATAATAAAGTCCTTATTTGATAAATTAAAAAGTAACCAATTTTTCAAATTGGTTTCTTCTTGCCTCTACTAGACTAAATATGTAAAGAAAATCTGTTTTAAGGGGCCTTCCAGGAGTGCCCACAGACCTTGGTTCAGTGCCAGGTGGATTCTCTCTGTGGGATACTGTAGGAAGGGTGGATTTGGGGAGGAAAGTGATGAGTTCAGTTTAGGGCATGTTGAAATTAAGGGACCAATAGGCAGGGTTGATATTCAAAATGTTTATCTACCAATAGAATACAGACAGGGATAGTCAGGATGGCTGCCTGAGTGGTCAGAACAGATACTATCAATCAAAAGTTAGGAAGGCTATTCCTATGCATGCAGACTAAAAATCAGCTGTACACACAGCACATCTAGGGAGGAAGTTGGAATTGAGGAGATAGAAGTCAGAGGCAAAGTTGGACTGGATAGAATGGATTGGGTGGGCAGATAGATAATGCTTACCCAATCCCAAGGAATTGATTAGATTTGCAGGAAAGAGCTGTGACTAAACTCTGGCAATATGATGAGGGAGAGAAGTGAGTGAGAAGGAGTGGATGGAAAGGTGAGAAGAGAACTGAAACAGAACAATATTCTGGAAATCAAGAAAAGAGAGAATTTTAAGGATGGAATGGTCAATGGGATAGCAAAGGCCCAGCAACTTGGCAGCTTAAAAGTGGTGAATATGGTAGAAACGGGTTAATGGATTTGTATCTGTAACAGGTACAGACAAGTTCTCTAACTGTTCTCATACAGGTATATCAGGCTTATTGTACACTATTTGGGAAATACAGAGAGGTAGTGAACTTCAACCTTCTGGAACCTCTGACCCAAATACCAGGGCCAGTTGAGAATGAGAGCCCCAGATGGGTGCTCAGCACCAGTATCTTAGGTGGCACAGGGGTACTGCTGATGTTGACTCCTGCTAGAGCAGCCTGTCAGTTAGGGAGAGTGGTACTGGCTCTGGGCACTGTGGAGAAACCTCCCTGCTCTAAGGCTACCTCTCTCCATCTGGCCTTCTACCCATCTCAGGCAACTGGATTTCAATGTTGATAAAGTAAAATGGCAATTAACTGAACATTTCCCTAAACAATCCCCCGTCCCAAACTGTTTGAATACTTACTCTCTGACAGCCCATTTCACTCTCAGTACTTGACAGATAGCTCATTTTGAAAGGATTGAGACAGATGGAAAGATTGAGTAGAAAGGTGGAAAGTTAGGAATAATGACTGAGTAGTTCCAAAGAAGGGGTACAGAGTTACTGCAGGAAACAGACCAACACAACATTTCACAGTGATCCTGTTCATTGTAGAAAATGTCATGGAAAGAATGTTGCATTCACACTTCTCTTTGGTGTTTCCCTATCTCATCACTCAGCTGTGTGGTGATTGACTCGGAGTCTGATGATGAACACTTCCCTGAGGAAAATCGAAGTAAGATCTCTGAAATGAGTGGCGAAGGCAAGTATACCACAAACTTAGAGAAGCAGCTGTGCTCTGCAGGCTCATCACACACAGGCATTTCAGGATAAGTCAGCCAAAGGTGTATTCTGCCTCACTTAGTAGTGAGTGCCACCATTTCTTTCCTCCTATGCGCCTAATGTGGAGATGGCTGGATTCCCTACATCCCTTGGTAGATTACCTAATGCAGCAGCAACTGCTCCTGCTGCTGCCTTAGACCCTGGTGTTTCTCTCAGTAGAGTTCTCACCTAGTAGCACTACATCAAGGGAGCAGAGGGAAGCAAATGAAGAGCAGGGACTGAGAAGAATGAAGGCTGTTCTGCTCCTCCCCCTCTTCCCTTCTTTCTTCTCTCTGTTTGGGAGTGACAAAGAGGAGTGAGAGAGAGGCATGGGCTCCTTCTTTCTGCCTGATGGAGACTTGGGTGGACGATGATCGTGGGCCAGTAGGCAGTGACTTCATGGGGAAGTTCTTTCTTCATCTAGATGTTTGTCTTTGCCTTTTGCTATTCCCTTAATATTTTCTAGAGATTCCTGTTTTTCTCACTGTATCCCACAGCAGATTCTTGCGTCTTTGGATTCAGAGGCCCTTGAACCTTGCGGTAGGCATGGAGCTTTACTTCCAGCTCAGAACCTGCTCAATGGGTGTGAAACATAGGAAGACTAGGAGCTTCTTAAGCATCAGGGATGGTATTTTATTAATCTTTGTTGCTTAGTACAAGGTGTAGGGCATAATGCATAGGTGCCTACTTAAAGTACTGGTTACTTCTTTGGTAACTACCCAAAAGCTACAGTTGGCTAGTGTTTCCTAGCTAACCTGGAATATGAGAGCCAGGAAAGGAGAGGTGGCTTAGAACCCTAGTCTCCTATTTTATCACCTATCTACTTGAATTTCTTTTCTCCCTCCTTTTCTCCAGCTCCGAGTGCATGTGCCCGAGTAGGACAGGGGTCCAGGTGCTATAATGCAAAGGGATCCCTGGAGGTAGCCGTAGAGTGTGAGTGACAGAGCCAGAAACCAGTTTATCACCATAGGCCACCAGCTGTTGACTCCTTGAGTCAGAAGATCCATAGTCTTTTGAGGGTGAACTTCCAACACAGGCTGCCCTTAGCTCTCTGACCAGTGGACTGTAACTGTGGATATCCATTTTCATCATGGAGGGATGAAAAGGTTCCAAAGGACTGTTTTTGTTTGTCTCTACTGTTTTCCACATGAATTTTGGTAATTTTACAGAAAAAAAAAAAGGCCTGAGAAGCTTTAACACATACTTCCAACCTCACTCCTAACTTTTATCAATGGACAGGTTCATGTTTATGGATTGTGAGCAGTGCTTCCCCACTGTTTTGTTTTTAAAATTTCACCTGCAGGTGGGAAACCTTTAAATTTTCTGGGAAGCATGACTTTTTAAAAATTAATATATTTTCTATTGATTTCAGAGAAAGGAAGGGAGAGGGAGAGATAGAAATATCAGTGATGAGAGTCATTGATCTGCTGCCTCCTGCACACCCCCTGATCGGGAATTGAACTGTGATCTCCTGGATCATAGGTCCATGCTCAACCGCTGAGCCACACTGGCTGGGCAGGAAGCATGACTTTTTACCATAGGAACACTCCTTTCTCTTTCCTTATTGCATATATAAAATTGTTTGGTAATTAATTCAAATAATAGATGAATGTCTCAATATACATTCTCCCAAATCTGCAGTTTGACAATTAAGAGTTTTTGCACCATGAATATGTTTTCACATCTTTCCTCTGCTCTAGTTTACATTTTTACATCCAGAATCATAGAAACCTAGAAGCTGAGCTCTGAACAGACTCCAGAGCATATGTGCTGTTAGACGTGCTGCCCCTCATTTTCAGGTGCAGGCGCCCTTCAACTGAGGGCAGTGACATTCTGACTGTTCCCAAGGCCTCTCAGTGCTACCATCAGAATTTAACTCCTCACTCCTACGTCAGTGGTTCTGAGAGCTTTCCACTTACGCACTAGTTAGAAAAATAAATTTTGGTAGCAAGCATAGAATTGCCAATTTTTAATTTGTCTGATGATGGAAATACAGTCCAACTACTATCTATCATCACCATGATTTCATAAAGTAAAAAGTGCTGTAAGTTTAGTGAGGACATAATCTCAAAATAAAGGACAGTCCTTTAAATTATAGAAATTGAACTTGATGGGAAAAAACACATTGTATTATTCTGTTGTCTCTTATTTTTCTGTGGACCAGTGAAAATATACAGGTCTACTGACCTGTGTTTGGGAACCTCTGATCACCTACATTGTGCTGTTTAGAGAAAGTGATTTGAAAATTACCACTGTACTTGGATTGCTGTTTTATCTGTCACTGCTCTTTGTGAAGTAAAAAAGTAATACAGGGAGCCCTGGCTAGTTTGACTCAGTGGTTAGAGCACCCACCCGCTTACTTGAAGGGTCCTGGGTTCGATTTCAGACAAGGGCAAGTACCTTGATTATAAGCTCGATCCGTGGCCCTGGTTGGGGCACGTGCAGGGGGCCACCAATCCATATGTCTCTCTCACATCGATCTTTCTCTCTTTCTCTCTCTCCCTTACACTCTCTGAAAAGCAATGGAAAAAATAACATTGGGTGAGGATTTAAAAAAAAAGTAATAGAAGGAAAATAATCTAGAATAACCAGTTCTTAACTGTGATTCATAATGTTGATTTCCTGCTTGTTTAATTTCCGCTCAATACTCTGAAACTGAGTGTCCCCAG